CCCCTGCAGGGACTTACCTGAACAGAGCCCCCAGCACCCTCGCCCCTTCAGGGACTTATCTGAACAGAGCCCCCAGCACCCTCGCCCCTTCAGGGACTTATCTGAACAGAGCTCCTGAGCACCCTTGCTGCTCCTTGTGTATCAGGAATCTCCCGTGGCTGCCCCACAGTATGGCTGGTCCCTGAGAGAGAGGAGACAAGGACAGGAATCAGGGAGGAAAATGCAAATTTCTGTCATTCTGAATGCACGGTTAAAAAGTATTATCCCTGCAGTCATCAGAGGTGAGATCAATGAGACACTGATTTGAGTTCAAATGTAATGTATTATAGTCTTGCCATTTGAAACTTTTTCATTTTCGTCAGTTTTTACAGCCAAAGTAGAAAACATTACACTAGAATTATATATTAAAAAAAAAAATTAAGTAACATTTCTTAAAATTAGCACCATAATTCTGGGTCATTTGCTGAAACCTGTTAAAAAATAAATCTTTATTTATAAAATGAAAAACTGGTGAGAAATGACTGTGATTGTTGAAGAGGAACCGCAGCTGTTGCTCTGTCCAGGTCGGTGCCCCCTCACCCCTGCCAGTCCCTCGAAACCTCCTGGGACAGGCGTGTCTGAGACCCTGCAAACGCCACACAGGCTGGCACCCGCCCCACAAAAACATGGAGGAGTGCTGGCAAGGCGGTGGCTAGGAACCAGATGCACAGCAGTTAACTGGCTTTTACTTATTGTTTAGGTTAAAAGTTCACCATTAACCACAAGTGACTGATAACATGCTGTTTATTCATGAGCTGACAGCTAACTCTTTCCGCAGGCAGAGCTGGTAGCTGAACTGAACAGAGGCCCTAACTCTGTCACTGTGGCGAAGCCAGACAACTGGCCTGGGCTAGGTTCCTTGTCTTTTCACCTCGTTTCATGCTCTTTCCTGTTTTTATTTCTTCCTGCAGTTCTCCTCGTTGATTGCTGTCTTGGAGCGGCCCATGTGGTTCCCTCCGTGAGGCTGCGCATCTTCAGGAAGCATTTTAGTTCCGAGGCTGACTCTCATATCTTGGAGGGCCCTTCCTCAATTCCTGCAGCCAGGTAGGAGAGGACTCAGGGCCAGCTTGCCAGCCTTGGGAGATGCCACTGGTGCCCGAGGCCACTGCGCCAGGTCTCACAGCCTGTCCATGTGCAGGAGACACAAGGCCTGGCACCTCACCCACTGCCAGTGCAGTCACAGCCACACCGGGCTCTGCCTTAACAGGAGGGGAGGGCAGTGCTGTTAGGAGCGCTCGCCTGAGCTGGCCTTGACTGTGGACCTATAGCTTGTTGCAGGTGTAAGGTGTCCTAAGAACCGTCTGAGAACAATGACAAATGACCACCTAAAATCAGGATTCACTCCGCATCCCGGCAGCAAGAGGTCACTTGGACCTTTACAGTCCAATGTCAAATATCCACTATGCATAAAAATTACTGGAGTCCTGCCTGTCACTTGCAAATGGAAACTGGCTGGCAAATTGAGAGAGAGGGCGTCTCCTCTGCTTCATACACATGGAGATGATGACGGGAGGCCCCAGGAAGAGGCTGCTTGTGAAACGCTGAGGAAAACATCTGAAAGCTTTCATTTATTAGAGATTCAGTCCCAAATTACACCCCAATTTTGATTGAAAAACCCTTTTACAGAAAGACAAACAGTGCCTGCTGTTTACACTTGTGACCCTGGGGTCTATAATTCAGTTTTTCTGAGCCTCATCTCCCATCTCATCTGCCAAAGAGTGATAAAATTCTGCTGTGAGCCTCACTGAGGTTCTCAACTTCCAGCTCCCTTCCTGCCCAGCAGATCACACGTTAACAGCCCCCACCATGTGCCATGCAGGACCTGCTCAGCACCTGCACCTTAACATCCTTCTCTATGCCCCATGCAGGTTCCTCTCAGGAGAATATTCCTCACTTCCTTGTTGTCACCTAAGCCGCTGTGATGAAATCCTGAATAGCTACTTAATACCACCAGTTCTCCAGGAAAGGAAACTACCGCATGGTGATGGACGTACTGTCTCCCCCTGATGAGGTCAGGCTTTGTGTTCCCACCCAAACCTCATCTTGAATTGCAATCCCCATAAGCCCCAGGTGTTGTGGGAGGAGGCTGGTGGGAGGTGGTTGGATTGTGGGGATGGTTATTCCCATGCTGTTCTCATGATAGTGATTGAGTTCTCACAGGGTCTGATGGTTTTTATAGGGGCTTGGTAGTTCCTCTTTTGCTCATTCTTCTGTCTCACATGCCACCACGTAAGATGTGCCTGGTTCCCCTTTTGCCATGACTGTAAGTTTCCTGAGCCCTCCACAGCCATGTGGAACTGTGAATCAATGAAACCTTTTTTAAATAAGTTACTCAGTCTCAGGTATGTGTTTCCAGCAGTGTGAAAATGGACTAACATACCCACCCACACACAGCACAGGATATGGGAAGAAGCACCAGCAATGCCAGTGCTGCAGAAGATGTGAGCTGGTGGAGCTGCCAGACACCTGCCGGTAGAGTAAACAGGGGGAACCACTTTGCCCAATGGTTTGGCAGTTTCTTAAGAGTTAGTGGGCCCCTACCTTACCCCAACAATTCCCTTTCCTGAATGTTGACCTAGAAGAAATGAAGATACATTTCTACAAAAATAGTTGTACATGAATATTCATTGTATGTTTGCTCATAATAGCCAAAAACTTGAAACAGATGTAAATTCTATCAAGATAAAAAATAAGCAATTTGAGATGTATTCATATGATGGAATATTACTCACTGATTAAGGAGAATAAGCTATTGGTACCAGAAGCATCATGGGTGAATCTCATACACAGGTTGAACAAAAGAAGCCAGATTCAAAATCACATTCTATGTAACACTACTGGCTGGAAGTTCACGAATGTAAAAACATAATCGAAGTTGTTAGAAACCATAATAGTGGTTGCTTCTGCAATAGGGTTGACTGTAAAAAAAAAAAACTCAAGAAATATTTTGGAGTGAAGGGAATTGTTGGGTGTGGGGTCTGTAACTGCTAAGACTCATTCAACACTGTCCTTAAAATGTGTACACTTCGTAGGACGTAATCTAATGTAGCAGAGAACTTGACTTCCATTTTGATAATCTTCCTGTCATGCCTTGTGGTAAAGAAAATGTGCTTCTTTTAATCAGTACATTCTTTTGAATAAAAATATAAATTTGCTGCATTAATAATTCCTTCCCTGTTAGCCAAAGACCCCCAGTTGCCTCCGAGAAACACATAGAGTGCCAATCATGTACCAGGCTTTTTCTCAGGAGCCAGGAGCTCTGTGGTGGAGAGCAGAGACGTGGCCGCAGTCTCGTGGGCCTCATGGTCTCGTGGTGTCCCGTGTCTCGTGATCTTGTGGTCTACTCTTGCGCAGCTGAGGTCTCTCACTGTCAGTCTCCCAGTGGTGTTTGTTTCACGGCAGGTTTTTGATGAGCATGGTGTGTATAGAATTATTACACCTGAATGAGGGTCCTGCATTCTCAGCTCATCATGGTCCCCAGCTCACTATTTTAACCCTCAGTCCCTTTATGCGTCAGGACAGTGCTGCACTTTCAATGACTTGGCTAGAGGAAGCCCACTCAGCAGTCGGGCAGACGTTATGACACAGTTTAGGAGAAGAAAGGGGTATGTGGGCGCACAGCCAACTCAGGCTTGGAGTTCTGAAGCAGAGGAAGAGACTGTGAAGGGCGATCTGCCAGGTGAGTAGAATTCAGCCAGGTGAAGGGAAAGTGGGAGGGGTTTGTCAGGAAGAGGAAACACGGAGGCCCAGAGGAGGGGCTGTGTGGCCTTCTCAAGAATTGGGTACAATATAGAAAGCAAGCAGGAAATGGTCAGAGGGAGATGGGAGAAAGAAATTGCTGCCCATTCATGAAGGGCTTTTGAGTTTTGATAGGGGCTGGGCCTTTCTGAGGGCAGTGGGTCACTGACACCAGCAGGAGCTGTGATCAGATGTGAATTCGGACAAGATGACTTAGGGCAAGGAGAGCAGCACGGGATTTTGGAGGCATTTTCCCACAACGGTGGCCCCGGCTCAGGAACGGTCCTGCAGGAAGAGAGAGGGCATGGACTCCAAAGCTGTCGTTGAAGCAGGGGAAATCGGGGGGAGCAGCAAAGCTTACTTTCAGGTTTCTGGCTTTGGCACTTGGGTGAGTGATGAAGCCAGTTATAAAAATTCAGACAGAACTTTGGGTTCCACCTTCTATTTCATGTATAATTCATTTCTGTCCTTGGAACTGGATCTGTTCCCTTCTTTTGAAGTGAGGAGTTCATTTCTTCTACAGGAAGAGCACATATTAACCCATGTAATTGAAAAGCGCAGGTGGATGTGTGGTTTGGAAAGACATCTTCAGGGCCCAGTACAACAGAGCCATGGCCTTTCTTGGGTCTGAGCAGGTCCCTGACCATTTCTGAACCAGTAACTGTAGCCGAATACACAGTAATCTCCATGGATTGGGAAACTGATACCCACAGAAGGATGGAAGGACTTTGAGCATTGAAAACAGCTGAGGTCCACTGTAGATGCCTCTGGGGAACACAAGCCAGAGAACGCTTCTCATTTAGAGGGATTTTTAAGAGATTAAAACAAGGCCTGAAAAGAGGTCTCAATACATACTCTAAAGAAGTGACAGCATTCTTGTTGTTTTCCTTCCTTCCTTCCTTCCTCTCTTTCTTTCTCTTTCTTTCTTCTTTCTTTCCTTCCTTCCCTCCTCTCCCTCTTTCTTTCTTTTTCTTTCTTTCTCTTTCTTTCTTTCTTTCTTCCTTCTTTCCTTCCTTCCTTCTTTCTCCTTCCTTCGTCTCTCTCCTTCCCTCTTCCTCCTCTCTCTCTCTTTCTTTCCTTCTTTCTTGGTTTGCTTATCTGGGTCCATGCACATTTCTTAGCCCTTCAATTTGTGTTGACGTTTGGAGGTCATAGTGGGTTGGTGCTGAAATGATTCATGTGTGTGTGAGTCCTTGCTCATTAGATCTTCGTTTTGATCTCTAATTCCAAGACAACTTGAGACTGATGTAATTTGAGGGGTTTTGATGATATTACTATGTCATCCAGGAGTGCCTGACTTCTGCTCCTAGGACTTTGTGATATTTTTCACTGCAATATGTATGAAGGAATAATAGCAAAAAGGTAATAAAGAGATATTAGACATTGAGCTTGAACCTATAGTAACGAAGACCAGGTGGAGTTAGGGATAGAGATAAAGATGGAGATAGAGATATAGAGAGAGAGATATATATATAGAGATGGAGATGGAGATGGAGACGGAGATGGAGATGGAGATGGAGACGGAGATGGAGATGGAGGTAGAGATGGGGATAGGGATAGATATATAAAGATATG